CCCTCTGCAGGTTGATAGCAATGGGGCAGCAAGCTAACCTTGTGGGGAAATGCCTGTGTGCCAAACACAGCCTCATGCTTGCACCTAACAGACAAAGCTAAAAACTCCTTATTGTTTGCAAAGGGCTGTTCCCTTGGAGTTAACCACTTAAAGAGTGCAACAAACCAGTGTGAAATTGGGAGGTCTTATTCTCCAAAAGAACCAGATGAACTCCTGTGCTGCCCATACTCCTGAGATGCTGAGTACAGATGAGTGTTGCTCAGTGCCTTGCAGGATCAGGCTCTCCTAAGTGTGCACTGTAGCCATTGGTAGCACTGCTATCTCCGTGCCTCTGGTGATCGAATTGGTGGTGTCCATGGGGGTTTAGAGGACTAGGTGATAGGACAGTTATCCTCTCTCCCTGTTGAGTGTGGTGTCCACTGCAAGTTCCAAATTCATTGGCAAAAATGCAGAACTCTCTCCTGGCACAGTGGCAGGGTTTTGTGAGCAGACACAGTTTGGGAAGGGAGGCTCTCAGTCCAGAGTCTTGCCTGCACGGATCATCGCGCCCTGTCATTCCAGTCCTATTTGCTATTAATTAGTCATCAAAAAGGGGTGAGAAAGAGGTAAATGAAAAGAGAGGAAATGAAAACTGGGAAAGCAAGCATGTCCTGGGAGATGAGAGGAGCAGAGTCCTTGAGTGTGAATGCTCTGGATGAGAGTTTTGTGGCTTTTGGTCTAAAATGGCATTTTTGTGTGCCTTCTGTCTGGTAGTAAGAATGGGAAGAAGCTCTAGTAATTCTTTCTTTCCTTTGGTCTGTCGAAGCTCAGTCTCTTGCGTCTAGTGCTATTGATTTGATGATCCGTTTATTACACAGTCTAAGGTTTTAACTCTCTGGGAAAAATTACCAAAAGATGAAGTTATCTAGACCCAGAGCAAATTAAAGTAGGAATTAAAAACTTTTGAACTACAGACATTTAAGCTTTAGTGAAGATTCTGAAGGAAGATGTGATTCAGGCTGTTACAAAAAAGGAGCTCTGGGATAGGACCAGCATCTTGGAAGCAGAAGCCTTTTTACAGCACATGCTGTTAGTGAAGGCTCTGCACCACCAGGCTTCAAAGGCCCCGTAAAAACATTTTTGAGTCATACACAAGAGTTTCTATTGACTTCAGTGGGCTGTGGATAGTGCCCCACTTGCAGACTCTTAGTCCTTTGTGTTATCCCAGATCACTGCTGTAGAAATGATTGGAACAGCCAACAACAGGGAGGCTTACAGCTCCTGAACAGCAGGCAGCAGGTGAGCTCTTATGACTAAGATCTTATTTTCATGCAAATGTCCTTGGTAAGTGAGAATAAGGAACTGGAGAAAAAAATACCTTGAATAGGAGATACAAATGGAATTGTTTTTCATTTGAGCATTTTCAGTGTATGCCTTTGTGCCTCAGATAAGACATTTATTGCAAGGCAATGAATTAAAGTGAATGACTATTGATAGTAATGCCTTGTCATAATAAATCCAACCTCTTGGATATCCATCAAGTGGTATTCTCCTGAGTCCTCACAGAATGCAATACAGTTAGTGGATGGTCAGAGGGAAATTAGGGGCACAAACCATGTGGTATCATCACCATCTTACTTGCACAAGCATGCCACTTTGTGAGATTTCATTAACAAGTCATTAGCATTAATATAGCCAGTGTTAACCTGCTATGCTCCGGTAGTCTTCTGGGATAATGGTTTCCTTCTACCTGTATGAATTATGATGGGAAATGATAGTGTGTCATTAGTTCCTTCAGGCCTTCCTTGCCTGACACTGAGGAAACCTGAGTGTGGTGTTCCCTGTATATATGGTGTGAAATCTGAACCCGCTGAGCCAGTGGCAGAAGTCCCATTGCCTTTGAAACACCAGAATTTCATTATAGCATGTAAACGCCTTTGTCTCTTATTTCACAGTATTTACATAGAGACTTTGGGTCCCACGGCCTGTGTGAGACATTTCAGTGGTATCATAATACAAAATGGTATTTACATGTAAACATTTCAATTTATTTTGTGTTCTGAGCACAGGGCAGTGCTGTGATATCTTTATGTTTTCCACATTGTGGTGCCTGATCTACTAAGAATGACAGTATGTTTCTGAAGCATTTTGATTTGTGCATGCATGCATGCATACATATATTTGTTGTTTGGTGTTTGCTGGTGCGGTCTTGTCTATTAATGACAAAAATAGGGATATATATTCTAAAAATTCTGTAAGGATGTAAATTAGGGTGGATTTTGAAGTGCTTACTTAGAGTATTTGCCAGGAATGTTGTTCTTTTCCAGTAATGCACACTGAAATGTTTTTCCTGCTTACAAAAGGAAAAAAAAATGGAGCAAATTGTGTGTAAGTAAACACATTCCTCCTCACCCTGCAGTTTATCGCTGTCAGCCGATACATTTCTCACCAGATTTGAGGCAGATGAGTGGGCTCCGAATCCTGAAGGGAAGTAGACAGCATAGCTATTTTGGTTTTAGATTTCAAATGTTTTTGAGGGCCTGCCATCAAATGGGGAGAAGTCCCAGGCTTTGATGGTTGTTAAATTACAGAGTGTGTGATCTGACGCCCCAGCGAGCCCAGGCTGGGGAGGAACTCGTTACAGCCCGGATGCAGAGCGCGGGGACGGCGGGGTGGCCGCAGCTCCCCGCCAACAAGCTCTGCACGGGGCTTTTCCCAGGCCCAGCACCGTGGCCTTCTGGTGGCTCTGCAGCTCAGTTACTGATGGCCTGTCAGCTGGGAGTCAGCGGTGGTGGCAGGGGACCGCAGGCTGAGATTCACTGAGTGCACGGGTCGGGGGCTGTGGCTGGCCGCTCGCGGCCGAGAGCAGCACGTGAGCTCCGTGACGTACATTATGGCAGTGCCAGCCAAGTGGTCAGTCCCTAACCAGGATATATTGCAGCCTGCCGAGTGGCTGAGGCCTGCAGCATGGAACATATGGAGATTATTTCCTGAATTTATGCAGCACATGTTTTCCTATAAATTAAATTCACAGAAAATGGGTCTCATAATAGGATGATGCTCACAACAGCCTTCCCTGTTATGAATTACAATGACCTCTCTCAGCTTGCTGGATGCCCAGTGAAATGGGTTCCACACGGTTGGAAACAATAGTGTGTATGTGGTGTCAGGCTCTGAAAGCCTGACCAAAAGGCTCTCTAACTAAAAGCACGTTTGGTTTTTTCTTTTTTTCCCCTTCCATTGCTTCTCTCATTCTCATTCTAGAAACAGGCCAGTTTCCTCCTGAAGTGCTGAGTTGCTGAGAGAGTGAGCAGCTGCCCCGGTGTCTGCTCTGTCATTCAGTGGCTGCTGCCTTTGCTGGGGGGCTGCTGGACAGCAAAGGCAGCTCTGGACATGGGGGCAGCCCCACTTCACAGACGAGGGTGGTGTGGGTTGCTGAAACAGCAGGATAGGGGTCCTTAGAATAATGAGTAAAGCAGCACATGTCCTTGGACAGAGGATCACAAGTCTTTTAGTGGCAAATATTTGAAATTCTGGTGCCTGGGGCTGGGACAAAGTAATTTTTGCCTTTTCCTTGGGTATGCTGAAGCAAATGAAGAAATATGTAGCAGAGACAGTCATGGTAACTACCTTTCTAAAGGGTGAAAGATAAAGTTGTTATTACAACTCTTTGCAACTCCGTGTGTGAAATCTTTAGTAGAGGAAATATAGATGCCGCCATGTAGGAGCAAACTGGAAATTCATAATTAAAATATAAACATATACACATGTGTTGTCTGTATAGCAATAGGTACCAGACAGCAAAACAATCTAGGGTGTACTTTGGGGCAAATGGCTGTGGAGTCAGTACAGACTGATAGAGTGTTTTCAGCTGTGCTTAAGGGACTTGCTTTTTCATTTGCAGCCGATTACAGGCTAATAGGATTTCAAAGATTTCTGGGAAGGAAGAGTTCACATCTCATTGCATTTGATTCTTTCCTTTTTTCTTTTTGCTTTTTTGATGTTTCATTTATCATACTACCCTTAGAATAAATTATATTACTCTACTGTTTAGCTTCTTGAACTGAATTTTTCCCCTTGGTCCTTTGCTGCTCTCTAATTGGCAGTTTTCAAATCATTTGGGACTTCTGAAAAGATCCTATCAGCCTTTTGTGTGATAGAAGAGAATGGAGCATTAGAATAAAATGATAATGTTGTGAATCTTTTAAGGTTTAGTCCTCTCTTCTTTGTCTTTTTGTAATACACACATGATGTGACTTGTACTGTTACGTTTTCTTAATGAAAAGTAACAATTTGAAAGCAACTCCTGGGAACAACCAATACAGCTGAATATTATTGGTACAGACTAATTCTGTGACTGACCTTCTCTGTTTAGTAGCAGTAGTAACCCTAGTTATTTTTCTTTAGCAGCTCACATGTTGGGAACACACACTTAGCCTGTAAATATGGATTCAGGAGGAAAATGAATGCAGCAGTGTTTCAAGGAGCCAAAAGCTTAGGAATAATGTTCTGCTGTGACTTTTCCAAACTGACATCTTGATGTTGGGATTATAAATGAAACCATTGTTCCAGCAAAGGCCAAGACTAATAGAAAGCCTTTATTACTGGTCCATTGGCTAATTCGGCTTGTCTAACCCCTTTGGATGGACACAGTGTCAGAAAACATAACCACAGAGGTTGCTTTGTGTGAGATTTGGCCTGCTGAGTGATTACATGTGGGCACAAAGATATCCCAATGACAAGTGTTCTTTGACTAAAATTTGTAAAGTCATTTTCTTTCCAGGAGTGAACTGATTTTTAATCTACAGCTTCTATGAGTGATATTTGCTTTGTGTCCTATCACCCTTCTATTCAGCCACTCTCCCCTTCCAAGCAGGTAAACCTGTGCTTAGAAGAAATTGTTTTTTCTGCTGAGCCTTGGTGCAGTTGACAGCTGTCATATACAGGCACTGTAGTTGAATACGTGTCTTTAGAGCCAGACAGTCTCAAAGAGCTTTAATCTTCTCTCTTTGCACATGCAGGGAATGCCTGGGAGCCAGAGACCCCTATTGTGGCTGGGACAGCAAGCAGAAGCGATGCACCACCATCGAGGACAGCTCCAACATGAGCCTCTGGACTCAAAACATTACTGAGTGCCCAGTAAGTGGAAGGAATGGAAATATTTTATATATACTGGTGTATGAGTGTAGAAGGGAGGGCGTGAGTGAGTGTGTGGCAACCTGATGAGGACTGGGACTGGCTGTTAGGAGAGCATGGAGAGTGCAGTGGCACACACTAGTATCTGTGCACAGCCTCTTGTTTAAAACACAGACACCCCAAACATAGTTGCTCCAAAAGAGGGATCCCAAAGCGACCATTCGGTTCTCCTCATCCTCACCCGTACCTTGAGTGAAAGAGAGTGGATCGCGCTGTTGGGGTACTGCTGAGAACCATGTAAGCCCCAGATGAAACCTAAGCTTTCTCAAGGCTGCTCCACTGTCTGCACCACTGCCTTGGCTTCCCTACAGGTCAGGTCAGGGAAATCAGAATAGCTGACTACAGCATACTCGGGCAGCATGCAGTTAATTTTGCTCTTGGAACCCTGAGCCAGGCCCAGGAGACAGCACCAGTGAAGTGTTGCACTGCCAGGAAAAGGTGACTGGGGAGCAGCAGAGAAGCAGGGTGTGTATAGGAGAACACAAGGGAAGGGGAAAGTGTAGCCAAGAGAGGGAGTACGAGAAAGAGAACATTGAGTTCAGATTCACAGTAGCAGACCAAAGACCAATCTATGTGATATTGCAAGGAGATGGTCTTCTTTCCTTGCCCTGGTCTCCATCAGATCCAGCAGTTTAAAAAAAAAGTGTCTCTGCTTGAGTCAGTTTGAGTTGGTTTTGCAGCTCCCTTCCTACTCACCCTCCTCTGACTACAATATCTAGTTTCCTGGCTGTGATCCCCAGAAGCTGTCTGGCCAAATTTAGTTCCTGCTGCTTGAACCATACCTGCAAGGTGGCTGAGGAGGAAAAATGGTCTTGCCAAATAAATGTGTGTGTGTGTGTGTGTAATTCTCATTAATTTCTATTGTTATTATCTAATGTCAATTAGCATGTTAATACTGCTAATACCAGTAGATAGAGTGAGAGGACTGGATGGGTTGTATCTTCAGTATGCTATTTCTGTCTGGAGGTGCTGGGATGTTTATTCCCCTTATCTTCCTTACTTCTCAGATATTTTCCCAGGAAATATTAGTCATTACTTCAATCCATCCTCAGCTTGGCAGGCTTAAGTTTTTCACTGCTGGATTCAGAGGCTTGTGTGTCTAAAACCCTCCTGTGTTGAACTGGGATGCAGTGCTTCTTGATTGCCCATGCTGTTATCTTGTCCTGCTTAATGCCTGTCTCTGTTGATAGGTGTGTGAGGTGTTAATCCTCTAGTTTGAACATGTCTGCTATGGTGCACACTAGGGAACAGGCTACTCCAGATCGTTGTTTCAAGGTCATAAAAATCCAGCACAGAATATTCAGGAGCTTTGGCTGTTCTTGGGGTACTAGTTTTACATTTTTTTGAGCACTTCCATTGTAGATTATTTTCCATGTAGGTGCTTTCATTTTGGTATATCCATCAGCCTTGTGCTCTTTGACTGATGGGCTGCCAAGCTGTTCAAAATCCACATGCAAGTGCTTTCTTTTTCTTTCTCCTCTGCCCCTTTCTGGAATGAATTCACCTCTGACATGGAGTGGGGTGGCTCATTTAAGAGCCTACATCAGCAATATCCAAGTATTTCCTTGTGTTCAGTGCAGGATAAAGGTCATGATCAGCAGAGGCAAGAATCTAGGACAGCATGTGCAAATGACCACTAGAAAGGTAGGAGAATGCAGTGACCCAAAGACAAATTTCACTCCTGAGGAAGGCCTGTCTGGGAGTTTAGTTGGATGAGTTACTGTCTTAAGAAGTCCTGGCTTTTCTCATCCCACTTTCCTGGGCTGAACATCAGGCACTCAGCTGTGCTGGTACAGCTGTATGTGAGATCACAGTTGAGTATGACGTGGAGTAGATTAAAAACACCCCTTCTAAATAAACTTTTCCTAACCCAGATAATGTCAGTGAGTTCTGTAGCCTAGCCCACAAACAGATGTCCTGGCACAGCTGAGAGACTGGCATGCTGCAACTTTTAAAGCCAGAACTGGCATATTATTGAATTATATCCTACAGGGGCCAGGCATTTGTGTGAGTCAACCACAACACTAACATAACTTGACTGATGCTCTTGTGAAGCATGCTTATTCAGAGCTAGTCTGAACATCTTTGTACAGCACCACAATGTACCACAGATTCCCACTCTCCAGCTTTAATATTAAGGGACATTAGATGGAGGGTTAATCATACAGTGTTAACACAGTACCTTAGGCAATGGTTAGTGTATGCTATTACCAGGTAACACCCAGAACCTCCTAAAGGTTTATTGCCAAGGTTGCAATGTCAAACATTTTAACGTTAAGAAATGATAGGACACAAATTGTACATGCTGCTCTTCCTTTCCCTTATGTGCACATGTCATATCAGGGAGTCCTGAATATATGATTGCATGCTGCTGCTTCTTAGGTTTGGGAGAAGGGAGTGAAGTGCTTTATGTTTTTAGGAAAACTGAAGAAAATCCACATCCTTCTTCATAATATCTTACTGATGCCAACATGAGCCACCAACAGGAAAGAAACTTCAGACGTGGCTGACAAACTCCATTAGCCAGGATCATGGGGTCACTATTGATGGTGGTTGACAAGTCAGGAACTGGGTATTCCCAATGAAGCATACAGTGTTCCTTATCCTAAGCCAAATGATGCTCTTCATTAGTTTTCATCCCAGCCCCACTTGATATATCCACCAAACCCCTATCTCAGTCATCTGCCATCTGCTCCGTGCTACCCCATTTTCTTGCTGAACAGTGCCAGTCTCCCTACTCCTTTTTTTGGGGTGTCTAGCAGAGTTGTTGTTCCCTACTCTCAGTTCATGTGGGTTCAGCCACCCAGAGCTGCAGTTCCCGGGATAATCCTGCTCAGGCTCACACTGAAGCATGCCCACTGCACAGAGAAGACTTCATGTGCCAGTATCAAAATTGACGAGTCTCTGAAAACTGAGAATTTTCCTCCCCACTTCCCCAGGATTTTATACCCTAGACAGATCTGAATGGCTTTTCATGGGAATTGCAAAAAGTTTGCAAGGATGTAAAGTCCATCTCCTTGCTCTGAACACTAGCTTGTTCCAAGGGCAAGGTTGCTACTTATGGGCATTCTTTTTGCCTAGATTTGATTTTAGAAATGGTTGAAATATTTTGACTGAAACTTTGCAAGAATTTTCAGCTTCTGTAAAACAGCCCAACATGGAAACTTCCAGCTGAAATAACTAAACCCTGACAAAGTTATAAGCAGTTGATACCTGAATCCTAAGAAGACACATAAATGCATTGAAAGAACAAGCAATGATTCTAGCCTTGTCTCTAATATCAGAATAAACATAAAAATATTCTGGTAGCAGAAAGCAGGAAGCAAATATTTACATCCTGCACTTGAGCCTTTAAGTGGTACAAGGGAGAACTGAAAAGGTGATGCCTTTGGTGGGAGTATGGCAGCTTATAAAATATGAGAACTCTGGAATTGGCAGTATTGTCAGATGAGAGAAGGGCATTTGATCCCACGTGTTTTTAAAGATGTCCTCTCTGTCTAATGGGCACTGTGTTGGCTGCAAAAGATCTACCTGGTAAAGATATTCCTGAGAAAGATCAATGCGTATGGGATTTATTCCACTTTCCAAGCTTGTTCTTTTGAAGATATTTTTGTGAATTTAAAGATGAAATAGTAATCTATACGTAATTTCTTCAGTATAAAAACTTCCCACACTCACAATGTTACATGTTTATAAATCTCAGCATTTTGGATATGGCTGCTTGTTTAATTTTTGGGTTGCTTCCCAGTATCACTTATGAGCCAATAATTATTTGTCAGCTTTTTTTTTTTTTTTTTTAAATTGAAGCCATGGGCCATATCATATCATTGATTGATTTCTGAACAGAACTCCCTGCTGGAATCAGCAACACTTTCTGGCTCAAAAGTGAATAGAAATGGTCCAGTACTTGGATTATGACTTTTGTAAGGCAAGAAGAGAAAGGAGATAAAAATCTAGTATTAAATATCTCAAAGTATTTATCTTGATTCTTTTTTTCCCCTGACTTTCAGCAACCCAACTGTACTGAGTTTTGATTGCATGCATGTTTAAAACACCAAATTCAACAACAACCCCAAAACTCAGTGTTTTCTTCTCTGGGCATCTTGCCTCGTAACCTGCAGCCCAGAGCAAATTTTTATGACATGATCGACTATTGCAAACAAAAGGTTACAACAGATGCTTTGAAACCTCCTGACTGCAGCCTGATGAGCGCAGTAACAGATCTAAATTACTTCCATGCCACTACTGCATATTTTTGAGATTGCTGTGGATGGGTGAGTGGGGAAGATGACAGCCCTCCGGAGGTGCATTGTGAGTGTTTAAAGTAGTGCCAGACTTGGAGAATAGGCACAGAGCAGCGTGTTTCAGAGGATGAGTGTTTGAAAGCCCTACTCCTGTGGCTGTGGTTGGCTCCCCTCATGGCCTCCACCAGGCTTGCAGCCTTTCTGTGCCTTGCTTTCCTTGTCTGTAAAGCAGGAGAAATTATTTCCCCCAGGGGACTGATCCTGCTGAGTGCAGAGTACAGTGAACCATGGCACAGTGGGCGCTGTCAGTGGTAGGTGGCTCAGATCTGGGGCCAGGGCCGTTTACCAGGACCCCCACCTCTTCCTTTCGTGACCCTTCTTTGTGTGCAACACTGAGACTGAGTTCAGCGTTGCCTTTGCCAGTAGTTTTACCAAAGCTGCTGAGCATCCCAGCATCCCATGGGTGATACCAATGGGGATGAGCCACTTGCAGTCAGCCACCATCTGTGCCATCCCGCCTGTGAGGCCCTGCACTTTGGGATGTGGTCTGCAGAGCATGGAGGGAGCCTCCAAGGGAGAGGGCATCACGGTGCTGCTCTGGAGCAACGAAATAGCCGTAGCCAGGCACAGCCAGCACAGATGTCTTTCTGCCTCGTGTTCCTGAAGTCAGGAGCTGAGGGGAAGCCAGAGCAGGGATGATCAAGATAGCTTTCCAGACGTGGGCCTGGAGTTGCTGGATTTTTCAGTAGTGGTGGAGTGGGCACAAGAAGGCAGCGGTGACCTGGGAGTGATCCTGGGAGGAGTAGGCAGCATTCGTCTTCTCAAGTCAGCCTTGGCAGCGAGGGCTTGAAGCCTGCTCCCCTAGCCCTCGTCTGAGGGCCCACCTAGCAGCACTGTTTAAAACAAGGCACAGGGGAGCCAGCTCTGATTCCCTATCTCCTGGAAGGTCTGCAGCAGTCTTAGGCTGAAATAGTTCTGTTTCTTATGCTTTTCATGTTCCAGAACTATTACAGTGTACAGAAAGCTCAAGCCCCAGCCTGTTTCGGGCTGTACAGGCAAGAAGCAAAGGGCAGGAGAAACAAATAGCAGCATGGTCTGGTCTATAAATTGCCTTGAGATGAACTCTTGCTCTTTAGCCCACTATGTGATCCTCAGCATTAATTCTAGTCACCACAATCTCCTTCACTTTCTATCCTTCACCCAGCTTAGCCACTTGGGCTACAGCTCTGTTTAGAAAGTTCCAGTTTTTACAGCATTTGGACGTGGCCAAAGTCAGCAAGGCCTTGGTCTCAGCTGCTCACTGTGGCTGGACAAACGCTAACTTGGAAAATACTCTGCCAGAGCAGCCCAAGCACTGCAGAGGCAGGAGTGTAGTGGAGCCAGGGCAATCAGCACCAGCCACTGTGCTGCTTGAGAGGCTGAAGCTGTGCAGTGTGGGACGAGGGAGCACAGTGGTTTTGTGGTGTGGCAGATGGGTGCTTGTGCCTGCTGTGGTGCTGGCTGGGTCAGCTCGGGTGCCTGTGCACACATGTTAGGTATGCAGGGTGGAATTTGGAGGGTAAATATTGATGTGGCATTGTCTTAAAACAACCCTCTCTTTTGAATCCTGCTCACAAGCACAGACAGCTCCCATCTAAGCTGCATCCTAATCCCTCCAGCAGCTTTCTTTGGTATTTCTATTGTGGGGCTGTCTCCAGAAACGTAAATGTGCTATTAATGACCTTTTTTTCTTTTAAAATTAGGTGAAAAACCTGACAATAAATGGAAGATTGGGGCCTTGGTCCCCATGGCAACTGTGTGAGCATTCGGATGGGGACAGCACAGGCTCCTGTATGTGTAGGTCACGTTCATGTGACAGCCCACGTCCTCGCTGCGGAGGTCGTGGATGTGAAGGAGCCAGGATCGAAGTTGCAAATTGCTCAAGGTACCTCAGCATCTTTGTGCTTTTTAAGAAGGGAACAAGTGTTTTGCCTGTCCACAGCTTAGCTCCTTCTCTGTGTTTCTGTGACCACGTTTTGTACCCCAGCCAAACTGTGGTATGCGAGGTCCAGCTTGAAGTTAGTCAAGAATCATAGAATCATAGAATCATTTAGGTTGGAAGGGACCTCCAAGATCATCAAGTCCAACCATTGAGCCAATAGGGCTCTAAAGTCCTCTGCTAAAACAGATCAGAATCTGTCAGGGTTGGAAGGGACCACAAGGATCACCCAGTTCCAACCCCTCTGCCATGAGCAGGGACACCTCCCACTAGATCAGGCTGCCCAGAGCCTCATCCAGCCTGGCCGTAAAGACCCCCAGGGATGGGGCCTCAACCACCTCCCTGGGCAACCCCTTCCAGGGTCTCACCACTCTCATGGGGAAGAACTTCTTCCTCACGTCCAGTCTGAATCTGCCCACTTCCAGCTTTGCCCCATTCCTTCTAGTTCTGTTGTTACTCGATATCCTAAAAAGTCCCTCCCCAGCTTTCTTGTAGGCCCCCCTAAGATACTGGAAGGCCACAATAAGGTCATCACCTCGGAGCCTTCTTCTCTCCAGACTGAACAG